ACTGAGAGAGGATCTCCCTCACTGTGCTCCACATCTCCATACTCAGCTCCTCAGAGAGGACATGTCCTGTAAAGAAGAAAGTCAGTCTTGTTCTAAGGGAGAAGCTGCATGAAGTATCCTCTGGTGCCTCTCAGACTGAGAGAAGGCAGTATGTGTGGGGTTAGCATAGCTAATGCCCACGCGCAGCATGTGTAGGGTTAGCATGGCTAACGCTCACGCGCAGCATGTGTAGGGTTAGCATAGCTAACGCCCACGCGCAGCATGTGTAGGTTTAGCATAGCTAATGCCCACGCGCAGCATGTGTAGGGTTAGCATAGCTAATGCGCACGCGCAGCATGTGTGGGGTTAGCATAGTTAACGCCCACGCGCAGCATGTGTGGGGTTAGCATAGCTAACGCTCACGCGCAGCATGTGTGGGGTTAGCATACCTAACGCTCACACCCATGCAAGCTAACTAAAACTTTTACCAGCAACATCCTCCTCCTTCCTATTGGTTGGCTTCGCTTTCACCATGAGTGGTTTATAGCAATTCAGCTATGAGGCCCTTGTGTGGTTTCTAAACCATGATCACAAGGTTAGATAAATGTACTGTAGTTAAATTTTCCGAAAAAAAAGATGCCTGATAGACTTTTACCTGCAGTGACATCATAAAGTCAGATTAGGAAAATGGAACATTGGAACGTTTGGAAACACATGACTAGTATCCTGTCCTGCTTGTTCCCTGCCTTGTGCCCTATGCTGCCTGCGACCAAGACCCTGTATGAGATAAGTGGTATGGAAGATGGGTGGATGGATGAACACAGGGGATTTAGGACACCAATGGGGTACATTGATCCGTCCTTCTGGGACTGAAAGAAGAAGTAGTTTGTGTGTCAGGTGTGCTGATGTTTCGAGGGTCTGTTGCTGCCGTCTTGGTGCCTCTGTGACTGTAAACACTGTGCAGACAGTGTGAGCCCTGAGTAAATAGTTAGAGCTGCCTTTCAGCACCATCCTCACCAGCTCCTGTCACTGTGAGCTGAACTCTGCACAAATTTTAATAGATTTACATATATAAATACAGATACAGATACTTTCAGGTTAAAAACCACAATGACGTGACTCATGACACAGCGTGCTATTTGGGGTATCGGTGGTCCAGTGGCTGAAGTCCAGTCCCATGTGGGTATGGGGTTTTTACCTCTAACCTGAAAGATTATAGGACACCATAATAACATCTGTTTAATGAGCCTTACAGAGCATGTGGGAAGATTAGTATAAATTGTATTAGAATGCCATCATTATGACTTTAATCCCATTTGAAGTACTTATCTGTTTTCTGTCCTCAGTTGTTTTACATAACACAGCAACAGGAATGCCTAACGTGTCTCTGCCAAATACACTCTTATATTTGGTGACAAGGACAGCGGGAAAGTCACTTGTCCTGAATACATACTTACAAGAATGAGGTAGACATGATAATGGCCTTACCATAATTCTTAACTACAATGTAATACAAAACAGTGCATGCAGACAGTCACTTGTCTTTAAAAAAAGCACAGACTATTTTATAGCAGGTAAAATTACTATATAATAATATAAAATCTCATTTAAATTAATGTAAATCTAACTTGACTAAATATTCTGTGTTCTGGCACCTTGACCATGCTTTTACTGTTACAGGAAGTTACCAACGTGTTAGGCCAGAAGAATATTCTGATCCAGGAGTAGCTTTCAAAGAACCATACTATCATGCAGCAGGACCAGAAGGGGGCAGTGTGGTCTCCTATGATCTGGTCTGGGCTCTTATTTCTATAGCTGCTTGCTTGGCCATGGTTCACAGTAAACACTTTCACCCACCTCCCCCAGGGACACAGCAGTGCGGGCTTTGTTACATCACAGCTTCTCGCTCAAGACCAGTTTTTGTGTGATGCCTTGACCAGCACTGTTTTCATTCCGTATAGTTGTTTTAAAGTATATGACGATACATGTAAACAGCTTGCAATGTGTCTTTTATACAATGCATAGTCGTTCTACTTTCATGGCACCTGAAGAGGTCAAATACTGAGGATCTCCAAAGCAGAGGATACTGCAATACCTCAGTAGAGACCAGCGCTGAGCTTTGGTCACTGTATGCTAGTGATGGACAAAATGACTCTTCTTGAAACATTTTTTTGACCCCACTAGATGGCGCTCTTGGTTTGCTTTGGGGCATGTTTTGTGCCCTTTTTGAACAGAAAGCACTATCTAGTAGAGTCAAAGAAAATCAGCAAATGGTTCATGAAGCATCATTTTGTCCTTCACTACCATGTGCATTTCCTTCAGCTTGATCGACCCATATGGAGGGAAGCATGTGATCATCAGTCAGGATCGATTCGGCTTGTGCACAACACGCTGTCTGAGGAGGCTCCTGTCAGTATCATCCTGAAGGTGAGCTGCTTCACCTGGCCTGTTAACCAAATGTTACCAACACCAATGAGAAAAAACTGCATAAACTATTTGCATAAAAGAAACACTTTGCATAGACTATATATGCTTCAGGGATCTGTGAGTGTTTATTATCCACTGAGTTTAACACTGCATTACTGTCAGTTGGGTTCCATATTTTAATTGGAACAGACTCAACAACAATTTCTTTCATCACATTTTTAATTGTGGTACTTTTCTGCTATGTCAATGGTATGTGAACTGTGCTACTGAAATTAGTTATTTAACTAGCTATGTATGGCTAAAATTATTGTTATTGCTGATAATAGATCACTAAATTGAAATGATGATTTTGTAGTATTGTAGATGCGGGGTATGGTGCAGGCGGGAAATGGTGACGATCCACTTGCAGCTCAGATACTAACGGGGGTTTATCGAAATAAAGAACACTGGGGAAATGCACAAAGAAACAGGACCACGAGGAGTCAAAAGCAAACGGGGAAAACAAATGATAACCACAAGTAACAAAGGTGGGAAACAGGGCGACACCAGGAACCGAACTAAGGGAACAGGGGAGTAACATCAGCACAGCACATAATACATGCAGTAACTCACTGGAGAACAGAGCAGGACAGCCACTTACATAGAAAACTGGGGCAAACAAGGAACAGGTGTAAGACAATCAATTAACCAATTATCGAACACTAGCACAAAGAAAAAGGGGGAACTAATAACACCTAATGGACACAGAAACTAGGGAACGTTAGAAATACCAAAAACTAGGAAAGATTAACTGGGAATTAACACTAGGAATAAAATGCAAGGCAGTGGCAGAGAACCATAAACAAGACTAATTAAACACAGGGATAAACAATATCCAACTAAGGATAAACTAAAACAAGGAAACAAAAGACTAAACACTAGGAAAAACAAATTGGCAAATAAATCAAATCAAATCACATTTATTTATAGAGCACATTTAAAAACAACAATGTTGACCAAAGTGCTTTACATTAAAAAATAAGTCATGGAACATCAAATTTAAAACACCAAAAAATAATAATAAACTACAATAGATATGGACCACCAGAAAGTGCAGCCTCACTGCTAATTAAAAGCCAGGGATTAAAGGTGAGTTTTGAGACGAGATTTAAAAACGGAGAGGCTAGGAGCCAGTCTGATGTGACGAAGCAGTTCATTCCACAACCTGGGTGCAAGGACCGAGAACGCTCTGTCACCCCTATTCTTTAGCCGTGCCCGTGGAATAAGTAAAAGGGACTGGTCTGCAGACCTCAAAGATCTCAATGGAGAATAAGATTCTAAAAGATCAGCAATATACGATGGAGCCAGCCCATGTAGCGCCTTAAAAACAAACAAGACTCAATTCTCCTCTGAAGAGGGAGCCAATGCAAAGCGGCAAGAATATGAGAGATAGGCTCTCGTTTACGAGAGCCAGTAAGAAGACGAGCAGCAGCATTTTGGACAATTTGTAATCGTGACAATGAAGCCTGACTGATGCCAGCATAAAAAGCATTACAATAGTCAAGGTGCGTTGTAATAAAAGCATGAACAACCCTCTCAAAGACATTAAAAGATATACATGGCTTAATTTTAGAGAGGAGCCTTAATTGAAATAATTGGCTTCAAACCAACAACTTGTCACGTCCGGCTCGTATGATCCTCGTGTGTGCCATGCCCCCCTCATTACCTCGTGTTAATTCCTGATTGTGATCACCTGTTGCTTGTTCAGTTCAGCCTGTCTGGTGTATTTAGTCTGTGTCTAAGTCCGTATGCGTCAGATTTGTCATTGAAGTTTCGTAATATCTGTTGCCGTCTGTTGCTGGGCAGGTCACTGTGACTCCTGCAGTTGCAGTTCTTCTTCCAGGACAGGTTATCACTGCAGAACCATTTCGGCTATAGCTAGTAGCTGTTACAATGGTGAATTGTGTACCTATTCCTGTCTATAGTAGTACCTTCAGTAACCTGGAGAAGCTCTCGTACTGTCTAACTAGGCTGTTACTAGGTCAATGATGGATCAGTATTTTGAAATGGCAAAATATTGAGTTTAATGAACTTTCGTCATTACCTTTCATGCTTTCATGTATATCATGTGGTGCAACCATAATTAATATTAAAAAATAATATTTCCTTAATACTGTATATATAACATTTTAACAAATCATCAGTATACGGAAAGTTATCCTGAAATAAAAAATGGTTTGCTCTTTTTTAAAGAAAAACAATCAGTTTTAGATCACTGTTGTAATAGCACCTTGAACATGGTGTTCATGTAATTTATAGACCAATTATTTCTCAAGAACCCATATAATTTACAAATGTATAATGATACTATCCACATACGCATGCATATGGCATCAGTGATTAATATATCATCCATAGTAATTAAAAATGTAATTTTAAATTTAATTTCCTTCCATTTTTGGTTATACACCAAATGAGCACATGGTCACACTAAATGATATAAGGACTTCATGAGTTTCAATAATTAGTCAAAAAGCTCATAGACACATACCATACAACAAGGATATTTTTATTATTTCATGAAATAAGTGCAATACACATCAGAGAACCTAACAGTGAAATACAATGCACATCATAAAAATAAGACTGAAATAGAGCTTTGAGGACTAACCCCAGGCATCTTGGAACTTTACCCAGTCTAGGCCAGTCAACTCTGGCCTTTTTTCCCTCCCTGTAACTCCTGGATGCAGCCCACTGTTTATTGGTCTCTGTTTCTTCCTCTTGGTCACCCTGAGCTCATTTGACTTGATATATTTAATCAGTCTCTGCTGTTTTCTTATATGATATCTAAAATAGTGATGTATGCTGTCATTCTGTGTCAGTGGTAGACAATGGTAGAATAAAGTTGCATGTTACCATAAAAAAACTATTAAGAATCCTTAACTAATTACAATTAGACCACAGTAATTTCTTCTTCTTTTTTAGTTTTCTTCTAGCAAGATATTCTTTTGCTAGAGGGATCAGCATTAACACAGTGCCTATGGCACCCTGATTTTTTTTGCTTGTTAAGGACATATGGGTAATAGGTTAAAATGGTTATAAAACATGTTATTAATGTAATGAATAGGTAATAAACGCAATTGCCACTGTGAATTTTCATTCAGTTAATCATTTTGGTACTTTTCATATGAATTATCAACCCATCTGAATGAAAACTGTGTTGAAATTATGGAAAAACAATAGCAATTTAAGGTAAAATTATGCCTTATATATGTAAGCTAATGTATATTTAAGCTAAGCTAAAACAATTTTATAGGGCAGTTTGTTACACACATAACCAATGTTCTGCAACAGAAGCTGATCAGAAATAGGAATGTCTATACTTCTGACGTGCAGGGTCTCTGTCACTGGCTGCAGTCTTCACCATGTAAGATAAGATACACAAGACATTATGAAGTCACACACTATTAATATCTTGAAATATCTTTGATTACCTGAGCTACTTATAAGTGTCACGACGTATGCAGGGCACAGACCAGGGAAACAAAGGCAGGACTCCAGGGGTAGGGAGAATATGGGGTTTAACTGAAGGGAAGACAAGCAGGACCAGAGAATAAGCAAAACAACACACACTGACGTTAATGACCGGACTGGGGAAACACTTGAATGCAGACTTATATACACAAGACTAATTAACAACAACAGGAAACAGCTGGTAACACGGGGATTCCACACGAGGTAGCGAGGGGGCGTGGCACATGGGAGGATCGGACATGACAATAAGAGACTCACCATAAGAGTGTTATGCTCAGGTGGCTTTTTACTCACATCTTTAACTGCATATGTATTATTGTCAGAATCAGAATGACAGCTCTGTAGAGACAAAACGTTATATGCAGGTTTTTCCATTTCATTTATAATAACTTGCTGAAGATTTTATTCACAGTGACCATTTTAACAGTTTCTGCAGGGTGATATTTAGCTGGAGAAATTGAGGTTTAGTACCTCATTCAATGGTGCTACAGCAGAACCCTTACAAAGTCTGACTACTGGCTCATACAGTTCATTGACTACAGCTGTAAGAGGATTCTGAGTTACAGCTTTCTGGTTTAATTTGCATGTAACATACACTCCCAACTTTTATCGAATTTAGGTTTGTACATGGTAACTACAGTTTAATTTAACTGAGTATTACCAGAGCAGCAGTTTGCTTTTTCTGTGAAAATGGTCTTACATTGAACCCCCTACATTACAGTCATCTCACCTGTTTAATTCCTCCTCTGTTACCTCCTCTGTTACACAGTAATTTAATCTTCCACCTAAAAGAGACAATATCAGGGAGCTCCTGAGCGGGAACACGGCACACTGACAAGGTGATGTGTAAGAGATGTGTCCCAACCAGGGATGTACGAAAGCAGCTGATACAATTATCAGTGTTGGGCAGTTCAGGTCCAGAAAGTACGAATCCAGACCAAGATTTTGTTTCTACCATTCAACTATCACAGTTGAATGAATCAGCAGTATTCCTGCACCCATTAGTGTCAGAAATGGGAGGTTACCGGGGAAGACGGTTAGGTTAGCTGGTTAGATGTCACCAGCTATTGGGATAAAAGGGCAGGCAGGACAGAGGGAAGGGAAAACAGTGAGGACTGGAGAGAGAAAGGGGGTCTCTGGAGCAGCGGGAGAGGGAGGGGTCTTGTTTTTGAGGGCATCACTCTGGGATTCATTTAATTTCATTGACTTTAATCATGTTAATTTAGGCATTTTAAGTCAGTTACCTGTTTCACCGAATCAACTATAACATCAATAAATAAATATTTTCGAATACTGAAAATGTTAAAAAAACATTAATTATTTTAAAGCAAATGAATCCTGAAACACTCACCCTATTATGCAAATTATTATAGGTAAAACATACAGCAGAATTCCCAAAACCATTAGGATTACTGTCATTAGACTCCAATTAGCCAAAATATGCCCTGTGCCAATAAAAAATGCATGTTAATCAAGACAAATCTCTTTTTATTATTACACTTAATTCTGTTTCTATTGGTATTTTTACGTTTTGAGCAACTGTGAGAATGAGACTGTATCTGACAAAATACTCTCTGCTCTGCTCTGCCTCTGTACTCAGCTTTGATGTTTATATTATTACTGTGACAGACATATGATTTTCCAGTACAATCCTCTGTGTTAAGGCTCCACATCATCGATTCCACATTGAATGACTTTGGATAATGATATTCACATTGAAACACCTCAGTTGATCTCCTTACTGCACATTGGGTTTCCTCTGGATAATCTACAGTCCATGCACCACCTAATACCAACAAAAAAACATATTGAAAAGTTAAATCAATGTTGTTTATGCTTTTTTTCCTAAAAAACAAAAGCTACAAAAAATCATTTTACCTTGAACAATTAAATCCATTTTGTTAGACACTTTACTGTCTTTCAAAGCACATGAGTATTTTCCAGAGTGATATTTGCAGACAGGACTGAAGTGAAGTGTGGATTTTGTCTCTGTCATGGGCTGGTCGTCCTTAAACCAGGTGAATTCTGATTGGCTGAGAGAGCAGCTCTCTGTGTCACATGTCAGAATCACAGAATCTCCTTCTCTCACTCCTTTAGATCGCGTCACCATAACCTTTAATTCTGCAGAAAGTCACACATAGTTTTTCATTCACTGATTCTCCCCCTTTTCATGAGTAAATTTAGCATCAGCACACAGAACTACTAGATGACTTCTCACTTTTTTTAAAATTTCAACCTACTCATGATCCATTCTATTTATCATTTAAAAATGACTCTTATAGAACAGCGCCTTTAGAAGGAAGAGTTTATTTAATTACTTTCATTAGAGTACATTGAATTGTTATGTTTAATGGTAGCATTTACTGAAAGTGTTTAAGCAAGACTTACCACATACTTGAAGAGTCACTCCAGGCCAACCAACTGATATTCCTGTAACATAACTGGATGTAAACCCGAATTGATACACTCCAGCATCAGTGTCTTTAATGTCCTTTATCTTTAATGCACAGTTCTTCACTCTGTCCCCCAAACACTCTGCTCTGCCCCAGTAGTCAGCATTGATGTTTGTATTATCACTGTGACAGACATGTGTTGGCTGCTCACAGTGAACATCATTATGACACCACATGAATGTCTCCACTCTGAGTGACTGCGGATAAGCAAATTCACAGGGAATCACCACAGTAGATCCTGTCACAGCACAGACTGGACTCAATGGATAGTTTATATCCAAGGCTCCTGGAAAACAAAATATTATGGAAGGCAGCATAATATAAATTGATATAAATATCAATTTTTTTATTGATTACTCAGGAGATGTGCTGAAGCAAACCGATATTTTTTTTGTAGGTTAAAATGATTATACATGCAGGATCCATCCATCTGTCTTCTGTAACTACTGTCCTGTTCAGAGTCGAGGGGGTCCAGAGTCTATCCCGAAGGCTACGGGCACAAGGCAGGAAATAACCCAGCGTGCACCATCTTATCGCGGAGGACACTTACACACCATTCACCTACACATGCATACCTACGGGCAATTTGGCATGTTTATGCAGGGAAACCGGAGTACCTGGAGGAAACCCCACGATGACATGTAGAGAACATGCAAACTCCACACACATAATAAAGAATTTAAATATAACCTGAATTTGAATTGTTCAATATAATATTAATGGGAGTGCTACCTGTGGCCATCAGACTCAACAATGAGTCTCCTTCCTGACCAGGCACGTGCAGACAGGGGGGGCTGGGGTGCCTTAGTGCCTGCCCCCTTTGCTTGAATGAAATTGCCCCCTTTTCATGTTCAAAGTGCCCTTCTTAGACAACTGACGATCACGCAAAATCGTAGAAATTTACCAACTGCCCCCCCCCACCCCCAGATCGCAAAAATGCACCACAATGTACCGGTTG